TGTTTGACTATTGTAAATTAAGTTTACTAAGATTCAAAAATTTGCATATTATGACATTTTTTTTCCACTGCTACATTATACTCATATGTGATAAATTTACTCTCGAGCAGTTTAGTCTTAGTCTTATTTTTGACACTCATTTTTATTCATTTGGCATAAAAAGAGTTATAAGTACTTTGAGTTAATTCATGATAAAAGTAAGTGGGAAATATTTGAATAAGTTCCGGCTATTATACAGAACAGTGATATAAGACATGTGTAATTCACTTTTTAAATATTACATTATGTCATTTCATGACTGCATGAATGAGTAGAAAACGAAAAAATTTATTAGAAATAAATAAAAAGCACTTAATAATTTGGAATATTTTTATGAGAAAGAGTGCACAAATTTTTAAGGTATATTTTCAATCGTTAATATTATTAGAAGGATTAAAATATAAACAGATCATATGGCACTGGTTAATACTTTGGCTTAGAGTACTATCATAAACTGCAGTAAAATTTTCTATGAAAAAAAATCACTTTTATTTTTTAGCTTTTTTGATACCTTTTTCACATAAAATAACTGCAACATACTCAATTAATTTAACTTATTTTTCAACATTGAAAAATAAATATGTTTTTAATTTTTAAATTAATTAATAAAAGTCAACTTTGCAAGACAGTTTGTTTGAAATAGCTTGCAATGCAAGATATAGAAACTTATCAGGCATGAATATATGCATAGTTTCATATACTGCCTCAGTTTTATAATTGAGGAACTATTATACTATTTAATTTATTAAATACTCTTTTTGTTAATTTAACAATTTTTCAAATAGACCATCAAATTTAGGCTAATGTAGGCTCGTTGAATTGTTTAAACTACAATTTTTCTTTAAAAATTAATTTACTTAGCCTAGCAAAAATTGAGTACTGATTTTGTCCTGCAAAAAAATCATACTTATTTCTAAGCTGCTTTTTGAAGTTGTTATTTAAGCGTCAAACATAATTCTCTTTATGGTTATCAAAACCATCTATTTTTCATTATTTCTAAAGCTGAGTAATGAACCTGTTTAAATATGATTCTTATGGTTTCTCTTTTAATGCGCAACATATCTTGTGTTTTCTTGGTTAGTAAGGTTAATTTTTGTTTTTACAATTATACAACTTTGCTCACAATTCAACAATAAAATCATTGGTGTGCTGAAATAATTCAAGTTTTACATTTTTTTTTTATTAAATAAGTTATGACTAATTCAGATATTACAATTTACATTAAAAGTTAGCTCCAAAAATATGAAACAAATTTGTTTGTAAAATAAAATATGACAGATTTTAAATAGATAAAGTTTGTTTCAAGTGATGAGAGTATAAAAATATGACAATAAACTTCATTTGTAAAAACTCGGTTGAACTAGTACTGATTAAGATTTGAAAATAATAACTTTTATTTTAAATGCCATTTTTAAAAATTGGAACTTTTTATTCAAAGAACATCATAAAGTTGAGCAAAAAAAAATTTGCAAAGATTGGAAGGAATAGCTTTAATGATTATGCTTCGAAAATCATTCAGTTTGCTTGTTCATTTCATTAAGTACATAAGTCAAAACTTAAAAATTAATTGTTTCTGAACAAAAAAATAAGTTTGAGGTACTAATTTTATTACCAAAGAGCTTTGTTTCAGCGCAAACAAAACTCAAATGCCAACATTTGTCGAAGAATATGTTTTAAATGCTTTGATAAAAGTATTTAATTTTTTTATTGCTTTTACAATAATTCAAATTAACTAATTGCAAAATGTTGTACTCACATATAATTATTATTATTTCAGTTATTTACTACTTTTTTCAACATTATTTTGTGATAAAAATTAAATTTCAATTTTTTTTAAAATTATTTAATTCGAACGTTTTTTAGAATTTTGAAATTTTTAACATGATAATTTACATGTTTTTAAAAAAGAATTTTATAAAACGTTAAAAAAATAAAATAAAAAGTTTTTGTTTAAGAAAAATACGAACATTTACACTTAAATTTAATTTTCGAAGCAAATTTACATTTCCAATTTATTCTTGCTTTAATTTGTCATCTTCTTTTTTAAACAATTGCAGTATTGTTTGATTGAAATTAGCAGAAAAAAAAAGAGTTTAACAAATGAGTTTTGAATTGTAGCCAAACTTAAGATTCTATCATTATTATCTTCAAAAATATTCTCACTATCATATCATTGATATATTTACGGCTTAGTTTAAATATCTTCTTGAATTACTTTTCTAAATAATGCAAAAAGTTGCTATGGTAATTTTTTTTAATCTTTTTTTAACTACTTATTTTTGTTATAGTGACCAGATGTGATCAATCACAATGCATTTACTCATTCATTGAATTCAAAAAAAAAGGAAAAAAAAGAAAAAAAAAGGAAAAAAGGAAATAAATAGTAATAGCAAATAAAATATATATCATAGATTAGTACTGCAGAATTATTCCTGAATTCAAAAAAAAGTAAAGCAGTGATTCCAATCGCTTGATTACTGCTGCAATGAAAGATTGAAAATATGAAGAAAATTTAGTTTATTAATACGCGTGAAAAAGTAATTGCACAGCATAATGTTTTCCATTTCATTCTTATTTTTCACTGCTCAACTTTATTCAATTTTTTTTTTTTTTTGATTTCTGTAATATAATTTGCAAATTCTTATTGCTTTCGTTTCTTGCAAATTTTAATTCGTTTCTTTTCTGTACACTAAGAAGCTATCGCAATTAAATAGTAATCTTCTTGAACTGCTTGATTTTACTAAGACATAACTGC